AGTGCCCTCTTTTGACTGGCAAAATTTACTGCGCTGAAGCGTTCATGAATACACGAACAAAGCTACAGATAGTAACGTCTTGGACCCAAGACTAGCTTTGTTTACGCTTTGTGAATCATTGTTACACATTTTTTGAAGGCTTGCCCTAGTTCATCTATACACAATTTCCGACTTGGGAAGAAAAGACTATTACGGCTTTTTGATACGTAAATGGATATCATGGGAAGAGATATTGGGGGATGGCGATATATACTCCTTCTTTTTGACCTGGGGAGGAGGAATTACCGATATAATTCACCTCCCCCCATGCACACACCTTTCAAGACACAGTGGCTGAGTTCGGGCGGCTTGTTCTCGTATAATCACAAACAGCTTGATTTGTTGTTCTTGGGTCGGCCGCTCGAACGCCGAAGACATACAACCGGTTGTCGCTGATAGTGACAACCAACATGCAATACGGTGTTATATATGTACGTTATTCGAGAGTGCCATCTCTCTACTTTTTGCAGCTGTTCAAAAATCAAAACCTCACAAGTTTTTCTGTGTGTTCCCGTAATACCCTAACGAGGAGGTGGTGTCACAGTGTGATCCTGTTCCGAGAACAGAGTTCTTGAGTCGTGTTCCCATTGTTCGAGCGCGAGAACAAGAAACCCGTGTCGAGAATAGGCCGCCTGAACTCGACTTGAATGTCGAGTGTGCCCTGCCACTGGCGCCACCTAGAGATGCCTCATGCTTGACCCCTGACCTGTGTATTTCATGTTGTCATGAAAAGCTGGTCATATTAAAGTGTTCTCAGAATAAAAAGCCTGTCTCCGCCTGCTTTGTCACGAAACACTGACCTAATGTGCACCCGTATATAGGCCTACCAACAACTCCGTAATTTCCGGCGTCACGATCTAATCTGGGATGGAGGCCGTGCTGAGGTCGATGGATAAATACGAAATCATCCCCCATATGTGGCAAGCAATCTACGCCCATGACGCCCATGAGTCATTATTTGTTTTAATAAGGTGGACATCAATCCACGGGGTATGCTGAGAATACGTTCAAATTGAAGTCTGAGTTTTGTAATGTTTATTTCATATGTCCTGATTTTATTTCCAAGATTGGAAGCTACCTAACCTTGGAATTACTTTTCACTCTTATTGTGCTACGTTTTACATGAAAACATGAATGAATTTTCTTCAGTGAAAGTGCCAATTGATGAATATCTTGATGTTGTAAAGATAAAGGTTGTATCTCCTAATTTTTATNCAGAACATCAAGTTACTCAGGCTTTGGAGTTAACAGACTGTTTGTTAACTTTCAAAAGAGCTCACTTAATTTCTAGTGTAGGTACTTTATTTCTTTTTGCGAAAATTTTATTTTATGCGATTCAAACTTTATAATCTTGATAGTCACTGTCTCCAGCTGACACAATGCGGAGACAATAATTCCGGGCCCATGGATTCTTGTACAAACTTTGACGCCCTTGAATTCCAAAATTGACGTAACACATAGGAACTTTATGTTCGACGTATTTTATCCCTAACTATCTGAATTTCCCAAATAAACCAAAAAAGAGGTCTACTTTTAGCAATAAAAATCTACTATTGATTGCGTCTGTGAAGCAATCACTTCTTAAAAGAGTCTCCTAAGGTGTACATTAATATGTAGTAAATATTATTATTCACATATCATATTTCGAAGCCCCTTTGCACTTGTTTTGTAGTTCATAGCAAACGTGTCTACTGTTAGGGATACATCATTCCCGTGAAATTTTTGTAGACTTAAAGCAAGGTATAATTACATGCCTACAAGTATAAACTAAAATTCATTTTTAAAAACATTCCAGCAACAATATATGACTTACAAAGTGAAAGATGTACTATGTGGTAGTGATAAAGGCGTTGCCTTTCCAACAGTTGTTGATGGTGATCTCATCACCGATAAACCCCTCGCATTGCTGAAAGCCGGCAGAATTAACAATGTTAACGTGATCGTTGGATTAGCAAAGGACGAAGATGCTATACCGTCATTTTTTTCACCGGCCTCAATTGTCCAAGTGTCGAGGAAGTCCAGCAATACATTAGAATTGTTAGTAGACTTTCATTCGAGAACCCCGGCAATGCAGCGCTAACTCTAATTGCGGAATACATTGGAAAAGGTGGATTAGGGGACGACTGCGAGACAAGGGGTAGTTTCAGACAGTTCATGAATGACTACTTGTCATACTGGAGCACATTGGAAGCTGCCAGGCTCCACGCTAACGCTGGTCACTCAGTCTACTTCTACTCGTTTGATCTCAAACCACCTGCTCCTTATAAAGGACCGCTTCCACCTCAGGCAGGACCAGCTTTGACGGATGATCTGCAGTTCCTGTTCGGAG